TGTCACAAAGTTGCTTCCTCAGTCCAAAAAACAATAAAATGCAACGCGTGTCAGACTGGCCGACACGATCATGCGTTTTGTGCAATTCGTTCACCGAACGATTGCCTGTTAATGATTTTCACTGCTTTGTACTTTAGTCTGTGCAAAAATAGTTGAAACGCTGAAAAATTGTTAAAAATTTCACGCACCGAACATGAAATCCCACGCATCGCCACTACCGCAAAATTGCAGCTTCTTGGCTTTCACGGTTCTCGAGATAATAATTTCTCCGCCAAAATTTCCACGGGCCATAGCTGATACCCGAGAGCGCGAGAACGCTGAATTTGGGTTTGCAAAGTCGTATGTGGACAAGGGGTAATTACCCTTAAAATTCCAGCTTCGTAGATTTCGTGATTCCTGAGATAATAGTTTACACGCCAAAACTGTCATGGGGCCATGGGTGATACCCGAGAGTGCGGGAACGCTGAATTTGAATTTGCAAGATCGTGCGTGGACAAGGGGTCATTACCCTAAAATTTCAGCCTCGTAGATTTTGTGATTCCCGAGATATTTACCTAAAACTTTTATGGAGTCGTTCGTGTTATCCATGGGCAAGAGAAGGTTGAATTTAAATATTCTGGATAGTACGTGGAGAGGGGACATGCTCGCAAAGTTTCACCCTTCTGTGGTTACTGTGATAATAATTTCACCCGCCCAAACTTTTACGGGGACGTACGCGTTACCCTCGGGTATGGGGGGGTGGGGGGCTGAATTTAAATTTGCGGGGTCGCACGTGGGTGAGGAACGTTCCCCTAAATTTTCAGCTTCCTAGCTTTTGTGGTTCCCGAGTTGAAAGTTGCGGTGGGGAACGTTACCCTAAATTTTCAGCTTCCTAGCTTTTGTGGTTCCCGAGTTGAAAGTTGCGGACAGTCACACGTGGGTGGGGAACATTACCCTAAATTTTCAGCTTCCTAGCTTTTGTGGTTCTCGAGTTGAAAGTTGCGGACAGGTCGCTGTGGACACACACACAAGCACAGGCAACCCCGTGACAATATGCGTTTTGTACTGCTGTTACACAGCACAAAACGCATAAAAAATCCGGAATGCTGTACATTTTCTTATGAAGCTGTCAGTGCTTAAGGAAATCAAAAA